GAGAGGCTAACTAAAAGTTAAAAGTAGCAAAAGGCTAGCTAAATGTAGCTAAAATCTATATAGAAGCTAGAAGTAACGAGAGGCTAACTAAAAGCTAAAAGTAACAAAAGTCTTCACCTGAGTGTTTCAAAATACGAACATCTAACTAAGAGACTCCCACAAACCGAAGTTGTATTGTAAAAAACATTTCTGTGGTACCGTACCAGCTTTATTTACCAAAGTGGTCCAAACAAGCCTCACAGCGCCCGTCTCCCGAATGAGCTGAACGTTTCACAATACAAACAGCTAACAGTAACAAGGTCATCTCTGTGGTCAAACCAGACGTTTGTGTTTCTTGTGTGTTTCTTGTGTGGGGGTGTAGATGTCCCACTCAGCCACCAGTGCCTTCTGCCGCTCCATCAAGCTGCAGTGTGAGCTCTACCCGTCCAGAGAGGTGGCCATCTGCCTGGACCCGTACTGCGGCCTGGGCTTCGTCGTCTGGTGCCTTTGCAGGTCCGGCTGCTCGTTGTAGACAAATAATTCGAAACCAAACGATGTCGTCACGTTTCCCTCTCCGGCTCGTCTCCCTGCAGCGTGTACTCAGGCCACCAGTCCATCCTGATCCCTCCGTCCGAGCTGGAGGTGAACCCGGCTCTGTGGCTGTCGGCCGTCAGTCAGTACAAAGTCCGGGACACGTTCTGCTCCTACAGCGTCATGGAGCTCTGCACCAAAGGTCTGGGTCTGCAGACCGACGCCCTGAAGGTGAGGTCTGCTCAGTCCCGTTCAAACGCTTTGATTAAACTCTTTAACCTCCTCTGGTCCCGCCCCCCTCCAGGCTCGAGGACTGGACTTGTCCCGAGTGAGGACGTGTGTGGTGGTGGCTGAGGAGCGTCCCAGGATAGCCCTGACCCAGTCCTTCTCCAAGCTCTTCAAGGACCTGGGACTCCACCCTCGGGCCGTCAGCACCTCCTTCGGCTGCAGAGTCAACCTGGCCATCTGCCTGCAGGTCAGATATTTATGTTTATTTCTTGCTCTGCCTCATTTGGACCTTCAGCTGAACGTTTCAGCAGAATTTAGAGCTGAAACCGTTTCTGGTGTCGGCTGCTTGTTGTTTGATTTTTAAAGAAAACGTTTCACGACGCTTTAATTTTTGCTTCGTTGGCTCGATGCTGCTGGTGTTCAGTTTGAGTTCGTCGTTTGTTCATGAAGCACAAAATAAAATCGGTTCGTGGGAATTTGTCAAGAACAAACTCAAACCTGTTTGCGATCGTACAATAAAAACTTCATTTGTTTTCTGGATAAAATGGTTTTAAAGAAACAGCCGTTAAGTTTGATGTAAATTAGGATTTCTCTTTTTTTGGCTCCTTTGGTTTTAAAAATACCTGCATGAGTTTTTTATGGAAACAGAAGCTTTTCCTTTTTTCAGTGACGTCTGGCAGGTCAGCACCAACGGCTTCGGCTGAGACCGATTCATTTTCTCTGGGAAACTTAAAAAAAAACGTGAACGATGAAGGTTTTTACGCACGACCGTTAGCTGTGGATTTGATGAACGGAGGCTCAGCTCTGCTCGTTAGCTGAATGATTCACACGCTTTGTGAATGTTTGAAACATTTTCTGGTTTTGAAATGAAAGATAAACTCAACGTTCAGGCTCCATTCATCCATTTCAGCTCTAACTTTAAAAAATAAAATAAAATACCCAGGATTGCTTAGCAAGTAAAGTTTTGTAAAGAATAATCTAATTTGATTAAACTTATCGTGATGGATTTGAAGACTTAACTAGAGAAACTGCATTTCCTGCAAAAATGCAGTGTGGATGTTTATTGCTGAAGAACTTGCTAAAAAACAGCTGAAATGGAAGAACAAGCCTAAGTTAGCAGAAAAAAGCAGAAAGAACACACATTTGCAGAATTTGGTTTAAATATGCATTAATGAGCACAGAAAATAGTAAATTAGAAAAAAAAAAAGCTGAAAAGGCAGAAAGGAAGTGGAGAGAGCACAAGCGGGTCGAACTAGGCTGAAAAACAGAAATTTGCAAAAAACAAACAGCTGAATAGTAGCTTAAAAAAAAGCAGAAAGGAGCTTAAGTTACCAGAAGGAAATTGAGAGAGCACAATTGTGCCCAATTAGGCTGAAAGAAGTGGAAATTATCAGAGAAAAGCAGAAATTAGCAAAACAACAGCTGAATAGTAGCTAAAAAGCAGAAAGAAGCTTGAAATGCCAGAAAGGAAGTGGAGTGAGCACATTTTTGCTGAATTAGGCAGAAAAAAGTTTCAATGAGTGCTAAAAATGTGGAATAAGCTGAAAAAGCTAAAATTGGCACAAAAACAGCTAAATAGTAGCTGAAATAGCGGAAATAGTTTAAACTTACAGAAATAAAACAAGCTGAAATTAGCAGAAAGAAGTTAGAAGAAGCACAAAGAGTCTGAAATGAGCACAAAACAGCTGAAAAAAACGACTGAAATTAGCTGAATGTTTTTATTTTGCACCACAAGAACAAAATGAACGGAGCAGTAAAAAGTTGTAAACGGATGTGAAGGATGTAAAATGAGCTCAGTTCATTTTCTATGAGAAGAAAAGTGGCAGAAAAGGCTAAATGTTTCAACAAGCTAAAGTTGCACCAATACCAAAAGTAACACAATTCATTAACATGTAAAATATTTTGCTTAATTTAAACCCTTATTCAAGAGTTGGTTTAGATAAAAGTTAATTTTTACAAAAAGTAATCTACTAAAGAAGCAAGACTTTGTATATTTTGTCATTAGATAAGTTAAAATCACTGAATTGATCTGGAACTTCTCGGCACATTATGAGAACTACCGTGTAAAAGTTTTAATCCGAATAAAAGAAAAACACACGGAGGAACGCATGTTGAACCGGAGCGGCCCACTCTCTGTGTAGCATCTAAAGCCGGACTAACGTGTGGCCGGACGATCTTCATTCCAACTGCTCGCTTGTTTGCTCTGAGTTCATCATTTTGACTTTTCTTCCTCCCCCCTCTCTGTTTAATGCATTAACCCCACCCTCGTCTCTCATACATGATTTTTGTCTCCGTCCTCCCTCCTTCTTTATTCCTCTGCTCCACTTTTCGTTTTCCTCCTCCCTGCTGCTGTAGCCTCACAGGCTCGGAAAGCTTGTCGACCAGGTAGGGAAACTAAAGAACCCCTCATCCCCCAAACACACACACGACCCCCCACCTGTCTGCACCGTGCTCTCCGGCTGATGTTTCTGGGTGTTGAGCAGCAACAGCTCTGCAGGCTCAGCTGCTTTTCAACTCAAATCTACATAAAAAATGTGCACACCGTTTGAAATATCAGACTGCACTCACCCGGGTGTTTGTTGGGTGAACTCTCCTGCAGAAGCCTCCTCTCTCCTCGCCTCCTTAACGTTGTGAATGATTCTTTTGGAGGGAGGACGGGGGACGCCTGGAAGGAGACGTGCACGATGAAAAGCACCGATTCTTCTCACGGGGACGGCAGCTGAGCTCTTCAGCACTTTGTGTAACAATAAAACACTCCCAGTGAATGTGGCTCTAACACCTGCACTCTGCATAATGAGCTCGTTATGAAAGTTTGGTTATGGGGGGGGGGGGGGGGGGGGTACTAACAATTTAAATAAAATTTATTTAAAAAAAGTGAAAAATAAAACTGAAAGATTTCTGCAGCTACTGCCTGAAATTCTAACAACTTTCTTTTTCTCCATTGGGACTTTTATTTCGTAGCAATCTAACTCGAGAGTAATGGCTGCCAGTTCATTACGGTCACCATGGTAACCACACACACCTGCATCTCTCACTCCCTGACTGCACTCTTAATGAGACTAATAGAGGTCACTGTGTGAAAACTTTTAAGTTGTTTTGGAAAAAAGGTTCTGAGCTCAGATACAAGAAGTCCATGAAGTTTGGATGTGAGCGCACTGGAAGGACTGGAGAGAGGACCATAAAGACCAGTTTATACTCCACGAGGAGTGAGAAGTTGTCTCACTGACATGGCTGCAGGACAAAAATTGTTCTTTTATTCTCGCGTCCCCTGAGACACTATTGTTCACTTCCCCCTGACAGAACTAGTTTCTTTTTGGGGGAAGTGAACAAGTACCGTGTGATTGTCAGAACTTAGTAGGTGTTTATGTGGAAATCAATTCATCCGTCCGTCCATCCATCCATCCATCCATCCATCCATCCATCCGTCCATCCGTCATCTGCCGCTTGTTCCGAAGTCACGTCTCGGGGGCGGCAGCTGGTTAAGGGAGGTCCAGACGCCCCTTTCCACAGCCACTGCTTCCAGCTCTTCTGGGAAGACTCCAAGGTGTTCCCAGACCAACAAAAACATGTAGTCTTCCGGACATGCCCCAAGCACCTCCCCAAGGAGGCGCCCAGCGAGCATCCTTACCAGAGTTCATGACCGTAAGTGAGGGTAGGAACGTAGACTGACCAGTAAACAGAGAGCTTTGCTTTACAGCTCAGCTCCCTTTTCACCACAATGGACCGGCACTGAGTCCACAATACTGCACACGCTGCACCAGTCCGTCTGTTACCCTCACGCTCCATTCTTCACTCACTTGTGAACAAAACCCAGAGATACTTGAACTTCTCCACTTGAGGCAGAACCTCACCCTCGACCCAAAGAGAGCAGTCCACCCTTCTCCAACTGAGGACCATGGCCTCAGATCTGGAGGTGCCGACTCTCATCCCAGCCGCTTCACACTCTGATGTGAGAGCTGGAGATCACGGCACGATGACGCCAACAGGACCACATCATCTGCAAAGAGCAGAGATGGAACCAATAAAACTTTTAAAGAATATCAAATAACTCGTGGAAGGAGATGGCACTTTTTTCGAGCATGAAGAAACAGGCGGCTCTCTGTGGCCGTGCACCTCGGCTGTCTGTCTAAGAAGTGTCGGCCTCTACGTCATAAAGTCACAAAAGTTTTTCCTCAAACAACAGAAATATAAATTCTTCCTCCTCCATCAACTGAAAGCAAACGTCCATCTCTGCCAACCGTGCTGCTGCTGTGTTGTTCGCTTGTGACGTGGACACTGGTGGGAGGGGCTTACCAGGAGTTCTCCCCTGCAGTTCCTCTTTGAGTATAAAATGCCCACGTGATCCTCGTCTTCAGTCTTCTGAAGTATAATCATGCCCCAAGTCCCGTAGCAGTGAGAGACACTGGGTGAAAGACAGAAATATGAACATCTTTATAAATAAATTGTATAAAAAGGATGACGTTTGTGGAAATAAGAAGAGTCGGCAAGTTTGGAAAGCTCAACAGCTACAGTATGTGGCATCACTGAAGCGTAAGTTAAACATTTCATAGTATTTTTTTTTCTAAAATCATCCCTTAGACTGTAATTGTAAAAATCATTAGATGTCAAAAAGCCAGTTCAGACGTTTAAAGTTGATCTTTCTGTGGCCAGTTCAGCTGCTGAATGAGGCTTCTGCTGTGAAGTCTGAGCTGCAGAGGACTGGTTGGTCTGTTTCACTAAAATCCAGTAGTTTATGGGGAAATTCTTCAGTTTTTAGTCAACTTTGTCTACACTGTATGACATCCTGCTGCTGAAAGTCACATCACAAGAAGCCTGATCAAGCCCCACTTTAATCTCTTTTTCAAATTAAACAGCAGCATCATCTGTGATCCTGACCCAACTCTGTTTATCTTATAGATTATTACTGCACACTGTTTACGTCACTGAAGAGAAATTACTTAAATCAAATGATTACCGTATTTTCCGCCCTATAAGTCACAGCTTTTTTTGCATAATTTAATGCCCTGCGACTTATAAGCCGGAGCGACGTATTTATGGATTTTTTTTTTTCCATATTTATAAACCAATTTTTGGCTGATATGACCCGTTTTCATTCATTCTGACTGATTTTTTTTTTTTTTTTTACAGTACCACTTGATGGCAGCAGAGTAGTAGTAACAGTATGGCATGCCGTTGTATCATGTAATAGGTAAACGTGGCTATAATGACAAATTTAAAAAAGTTCAAGACAAAAAAAATGGTTTTTATTTATTATATTTTATAAAAAAAAATTTTCTTGAACTTTTTTGAACGTACCATGTTGTGGATGACTGAGAATCCTCACCTGCTTTTAATGACTCAATCGGCCTGCCATACACCCCATCTTCATTCTGCTCGCTGCTTGGAACCGTCAAACCAGCTGCACCGCCCCGACAAAATGCAGCTAATTTGACCATTAAAGTGCATTTGTTAAGCAAATGTTAACCTGAGACACACCTTTACTATAATTTCAAACAAACAATTGTTTAGGTGCTTTTCTTGTTAAATTTCGGAGAAACGAGCCGCGTTCCTCCTCCCTTTTTCTCGTCCTCTGCGCGTTCCCGGAGCACCGAGGCAGCGAAACTATTTTTGAAATTCAACTGATTTTATTTATTTATTTCGAACGACAATAAAAAGTAAAAACAAAGAAAGATAAAAAAAAAAAATAACAATCATGCCAATTGACATGCAAAAGGAGCAGGTAGAAGATAACAATCTTATGATTTCCTGCCCCTGTCATACACATCAATATACAATTAGTCTCCCCGCACCAAATAACCCTTATAATACTCCCACATTAAATGATGCTTAAACCTCACATTCTCATCGTTGAATGGACAATTATTTACACATTATTAATATCAGCAATAACATTTTTGGTCTTTGAAACTCCCATCCTATACAACATGTTTTTCAATAAGCTCATTTTTAAGCTGGCTTATATTTGTACTTTGTTTGAGCTCATCATTTAAATCATTCCGTAGATCTACTCCACACAGCGATACATAAAAACTCTTTTTGGTTGTTCTGCTACTTTTAAATTTTCCGTTTTGCTTATAACCCCCCTCTGTCACAAAACATTTTTTGAATATTGTGTGGAAGTAAAAGTGCATTTATTAAGCAAATGTTAGACTGAGACACACATTTACTATAATTTTGAGCAAACAAATAATTGTCTTCAAGTGTTAATCTTGTTAAATTCTTGTTAAAGTCCTCCCGTGCACGCTCCAGCGGCCATCATTTGTCAGCCCATCCATTTTTGGCACAACACCGGCCCACATTTCGGATTGTCGGCGGTGACACATAATAGATGCGACGTATTTAAGTATTTTTCCACTTTATTAGACAAATGTGGACTGATGCAACTAATAGTGTGAAGTGACGTGTACGGCGGAAAATAAGGTAATTAAGGGGCAAAGCTTTTTTTTCCACCTCGCATCTCGTAAGGACCAACTAGAAACCGTCTGCTATGGTGAGACTTCAAAGCCGCCACCTCATGATTTTAATGAACTACACCATCTTAGCATAAGCTGCTTTAATAAAACCGTTGACGTAGAGTTGAGGTTCTCAAAGTCCGGGTCGGTGTCGTGAAACACCAAGAGGTGCTGAAGAAATCTACAGAAACCCAAGTGACTTTAAAAAATAATTGCCAAGAGCACATTTGGTCTCGACTGTTCCAAAGAAATCATAACGATGACGTGAAGTTTGACGCGGCTCTCGCTTAAAGGTCTTATTAGCAGTGTGTGTGTGTGTGTGTGTGTGTGTGTGTGTGTGTGTGTGTGTGTGTGTGTGTGTGTGTGTGTGTGTGTGTGTGTGCGTGCGTGCGCACGTCAGCAGCAGTCAGGAGTCTCTCTGGGTTTTATGTTGTGAGTCGAAGGCAGAAAAGTTTGGGAACGGTAACGTTAATGTTTTTTTTGGTGACATCTTCCTTCAAAGATTGATTTTCCTGCATATTAATTAAAAAAAAAACTAATTTTTAAACTGATGGCTGCAGCCTGCAATCACGTCGTACAGATGTTTGTCACCAGTACTGGGCAGGATGGTGGAGTTGGGAGCCTCACTTTATTTCTTTGTTTGGATTTTCCTTCATAACTTTCAGTCATTCCAGCTGCAGATTAAAGAAATAGTCATTTCATCTCTTTGGAGGTGCTCACTCATGTTTCCTTGTTGCTTTTTGTTTGCACTCCAAACATTTTAGCTTAAAAAAAAAAAAAGATTAGGTTATTTTTGTGATTTCCATCCAGTCACCCTTTTGATCTTCTGAATCCTGCAAATATTCCCAGTTTCTCTTCCTTTCTGTGGGGTGAAAGCTTGAGCACGAGCGTCACCGCTGCAGCCTGGTGGGTGTGGAGGTTGTTGTTGTTTGTCCAGCAGGTTGTTGTATTTGTGACGTTGTCGTTTTCTTCTCAGGGCACGTCCGGACCCGACCCCACGACTGTGTTTGTTGATATGAGGGCGCTTCGACATGACAGGTGAGTTCACTCCCAGCTTCCTGCCTGGAATCTGATGCATGCAGATAAAATACTGCGCAGAAACAAACAGTCCTGGATTATCCAGGAGTTATTAATCTGAATGATTAGCAGAGAAAATCCCTGCTTGTAGCTTTACAGCTTTCACTACAAATGTCACCAATTTACATACCGTAATGTCCGGACTACAAGCCGCTACTTTTTCACAGGCTTTGAACCTCGCAATTTATACAACGCTGCGGCTAATTGATGTTTTGTTTTAATTTTGTGACGGGCTAACGAGCTTCCTGCTGCCAAAATATTTAGCCTCGTCACACCCGGGCGCTCGCATAGCTGCCCAGTACACGCCTGTCTTGGGAGGGTGGGTCCTCGTGACTCATAGAGACTACCTATATAAATAAAGGTTAAAAAAAATAAAAATAAAACCAATGAAATTACCGAACAGGTCACAGTGGACCAATGAAACTTCAAAGTACAGTAGTAGTACAGTAGTAGTACAATAGTCCCATGTTTATTGCGGGGGATCCGTACCCTGAAACTCTGTAATAAGTGAAAAACCTTGAAATAGGAATAGTAGTACAAGTAGTAAGTAGTAGTTTATTTTAATATATATATATATATATATATATATTTCTTTTTAAGACGTTTTAAACCCTTCCCACACTCTTGCAATATCCTAAACAATGTTTCTAAACTCTCTAAAAGAGCATAGATTATCATGATTTCAACTCCCTGCCTCCGTGCTCTTTGCCACCTGCTCTTGGCCACGCCCACTTCTCCGCTCTGCACGGAGAACAGCTGATCAGCTGCAGCAGGAAGCTTTATCCTGCAGTGTGGGCTAAATTAAAATAATTAATCCATGCAGCTCATCCACCAATCAGCCAGATGTGCATCATATCCAATCTTATTTTGAAAAACCGCGATGGAGCGAGTCCGCGATAAACAAACTGCGAGGGATAACTGTACCGTAAATCAAACGCACTCGCACTAAATTCTTCAGATCAGTTATTTTGTGCTTTATGCACCCTCATCATCTAAAACACACAAATAAACGATGCAGCTTTCCAGTTAAAGGCTGTTGAATAAGGAAATGGAGCTGCTGCACGTAAGCTTGGTATAAATAATCATTTATTTTTTAACCAGCCATGTTACTTACAGGAACTGCTCGGATAAAACATTTACTGTACGTATTTGTGTGTTACTGGTACATATTTAATTAAAAGTTAAAAATAATCTTCCTGTTACAACGTGGACACCCACAGCTTATACAACAGCGCGGCCTATCTATGTACAAAATTGTTTTTAATTTAGTGGGCACGGCTTGTATTCAGCTCAATACTTTAAAATTTACGGGAACTTCAACATTTTTATTCAAATTTGTAGAAATATTCAAAGTCCCAGAAAAGCCAACTGTAACACCAACAAGTTATTTTCCCATATTCAACTCCTAAACTCTTTTCCAGACGCATCCTGCTCAAGATTTCTTACTTTTTATTGGTTTGAATGTTCAGGACACGGCAAACCCTAAAAGTTAGACCAGTCTTTACAGACGACTGGACGTGGCAGCGCTGCAACATTTCAACCAGAACCTTCCGGTCCGAACTGAGAGATCTCAGACGAGAAGCGAATCGTTTCCATCCATTGTTCAACTCTTAGGGCGTGAGATGCTCAGTAGCTGCCTCGTGTTGCTCGTGCGGAGTATCGTTTGTGCTTTTCTTAAGAAATCATCTGCACATATCTACAAGACGGAGCAAGTTTGACCGAGTTTCTGACATCGTTTTAAGGTCCAGTTATTCTGAGCTGATGCACGGATCAACTGAACAGTGATGCAGAACCCAGGAAGTAATCAGGTCTTTGGGGATTTCAGTTTTTATTTTAATTTATTCTTTTTGACGGAAAGCGCCAAACGTCTTCAAAGTTCAGTGGAAGTTCTGAACAAAACGTGGGTTAAAGAACAAAAAAAACCTTTAAGACGTTCAGAAAGTCTGTCTGCTTTGAAGCACGGGGCGACAGATTGTTTCTACCAAAGCTTTAGATTTACACAATTTACTCGTATCAATATAAAACCGCGGTCAAAGTTTGGATTTCAGAATTTTCGTAAAAAAAAATTTAACTGGCTCTTGTTCAGTGGTGGAGTTATGGGAGAACTGTTTGTAAGAATCTTTTCAGAATTATAACAAACTTTTTTTGTTTTTCACCACTCGAGCAGATTTATTGGTTGTAAATCTAACAAAGAATCTTAAAATTGGTTGTTGCTTTTTTAATCAGTGTATGAAGTGTTTTTCCTCCGAGGCAGTTCTTCTTCTCTGCAGTAAAATGTTGAACAGGAAGTTTGAGGCTGTGAGGATCTTATTTGACGCGTTAGCTGTCACCCTCTCGGCTCTGAAAATATTTCCCAACAGACTTGAAGCTCCACGTTTTCATTCAGAATGCATCACAGATGGAAACTTTCTTTAAAAGTCTTAATGAAAATGATTTGATGACTTCAGGCGGTGAAACGCCGTCACTTTCTAAATCGACGCAGATGCGAACAGGCCAGACACAAAGATGTTCTCAGATGTGACGGGCGATGGCTGCGAGGGGAAACTGAAGATTTCCTGCTCTGACACGACTGATCCAACCACTTCTGGTGCTTTTTGCTCTCTGTGGTCAAAAACGGCTGCAATTGATCCCCAAATTCACGAGTTATTTCATGCTAAATTAAATTCTAGTCCATTAAAAAAATGAGTAATATTCTGATGTTTTGTTCCCAGAAGCAGTTTTTAGATTGAGACAGAACAGTTTGACAATTTGCTTCAAAAAGAAACAAAAAAATCCCAAAAGGTTTCAGGTAGTCCCTCGCTACATCGCGGTTTTTCAAAATAAGATTGGACATGACACACAATTGGCTGATTGATGGATAAGCTGCATGATCTGCATGGAATTTTTATTTAAAATACATTATTTTGCACCTGCTGCAGCTTTGTGCAACCCACGCTGCAGAATAAACTTCATTGCACCTGTGCAGAGCGGAGAAATGGGCGTGTCCAAGAGCGCTTGCAGGTGGCAAAGAGCATATATATATATATATATAATAATTTATTAGGGGTGCACCGATTGCCGTTTTCTGGCCGATACCGATTTTGTTTTAAAGCGACTCTGTCAGGTGTTAAAGTCACAATGCACCTTCAATTTTCTATTATTTTATTGAAAAACAAACCTTTGAACAATATCCTAGAAACAATACAAACTTGTTTTAACTGGCCGTGAGGTAGTGCTCTGAAATATAAATCAAGTTCAGACAATTGTTAAAACTAAAAAAAATTGGTAAAATCAGTTTCTCGTGCAAGTATCAGTCGATTTCCACAAATTAAGGAAATTGGGCTGAAAAATCGGTGCGCTCCTAATATATATAATAAAAATAAACTACTACTTGTACTACTCCTCCATCCTCGTGTTTTTCCACTTATTGCGGGTCTTCGGTGTACGGATCCCTAACGATAAACGAGGGACTACTCTAGTTTTTGTTCCTCGTTGCAAAGTGAAGATTGAAAATACGCTCCGTCCGTCTGTCCTTCCTGAGTGTGACAACTTGAAAAATAAGTAAAGACTTCCATCTGTGTCGAAACATGCAGGTGTAAAAAAAAAAAAGGTGCCTTTTAAAAATTGGGTTGCCATGTCAAAATCCAAGATGGCTGCTGCCATAAATACCCGTCCGCCCTGTGAGCTGAATAACTTGAAAAACGGACATTGTGGTGTGGCTGCATCTACACATAAGAAGTCGTCATCAAAAATTAGACTGATCACAAAAAACAAACCTCTCTTCTTCTCCACGGTGTAACTCCTCCCCTCTTAAATATGTTGCACCAAAAACATTTAGGTTTACTTCATTCTCTGTTCAGTTCCAGCAAAACTCCAAACATTCACCATTTAATCCCTCAGCTGCAGGGACGTTAACGTACTGCTAGAAAATGCTTTAAGTTAGTCAGATTCCTTCACTTTTAAAGCTTTTATTATCTTGATTAAAACTCACTAGTGGGTACTGGAAGTGACTGATTAGTAATTAAATTATTTTCACTCCAGCAGCCTGTTTTCTAAAATCACCTCCATCTTTCTACAGAAACATGAGCTGCGGTGCACAAACTGCGTCAGGGTGGTGTTTTTAATGTTAACCTTTCTGTTCAGGGTCAGACTCGTAGAGAGGGGGTCCCCGCACAGTTTGTCTCTCATGGAGTCTGGGAAGGTGAGTTTTTCTTCAAAACTTCCTTTAAGTCATCGTTTCAGTAAAGACAATAAAAAGGTTGCTGGTGCTCGGGTTCGTTTCTCTAACTGGTTTTATCCCCGCTGGGAGCAGATCCTGCCTGGGGTCAGAATCATCATCGCCAACCCAGAGACCAAAGGACCGATGGGGGAGTCGCACCTGGGAGAGGTCTGTCAGCAAAACACTTTGGTTTGGTTCAAACAGAACGGACTGAGCTGCAGCTGTCGGAGACCGTCAGGAAAAAGAGACATTTTCCAAATCGATCTCACCGATTGTGTTAATGTGTCTCTCCTGAGCAGAATGTAAAACTGTCCTTTTCTTGTATTCTAGCCCACTGTGCACCCACCCCCACATCTGTAATTTAATCTACTGGAGTACACATTTAAACCAATCGTGATGTTATTTTACACCTGTATGTTCAGGGTTTTATAGCCTCCGATGTTTTCTGTCACATCATCTTTGGAACCATTTCAAAAGCTAAACTGGCTCTTTTGAACATAATGGAAGTGAAAAGGCTGTGAGCAACAAATTTAAGAACTTCAGTCGTTTCCAGACATCTGAAGTTCAACTGAAGCAACCGCCTGTTTATCAGACGTCTAATTCCGTCACTGTCTGGACTAAATAGGTTTTTGGACTCTTTGACTTCATGCTTTATTTTGAACATCTTGACTGAGGATGAACCAGTCTCTGTTGGTGCAGAGGACTGAATCAGGAGGTCACTGATCTTTTACATTTGCAGATCTGGGTGCACAGCAGCCACAACGCCAGCGGTTACTTCACCGTCTATGGGGACGAGATGCTTCAGTCGGACCATTTCAGCTCCAGACTCAGTTTTGGGGACACGCAGACTGTTTGGGCTCGAACCGGGTACCTGGGCTTCCTCCGCAGGACCGAGCTCACAGACGCCAGCGGAGGTGAGGGAGACTCTTTTCATGGAGCTGAGGGCTGGGCTCATCCATCTTCAGGGTAGGCCTGTCACGATAACAAATTTTGCCGGGCAATTAATTGTGTCAGAAATTATTGCGATAAACGATAATATTGTTTAAAATGTGACAATAATTAGTAATTATTGTCAAACTTAATAAGAAATGTTTAATTTGTTTTGAGTGTAGTACCTTTTTTGTCCACCGGATGGATAGTGAGGGAGCGAGCAGCTAGTCTCTTTAAGAAAAATGGGAGGGAGGCCCCTTGACGTGACACGGGCTGTCTCTCGTTCCTGTTTTTCAGTTCTCAAAATGGCGGACGCTCGGTGTGGTTTGAGCTCTTTAGCATAACATTTTTCACACAAAGCTTTTAATAAAAAGTTCAGTAAACAAGTTCTCAACTTCTTTTTACACGAAGGCACGAGTTTCAACTGAATTTTGGAGCGTCGACCTGTTAGCTTCTCAGCTTAGCTGCTTTTAACGAACCAAAAACGTGATTTTGGACAGTTAAAATAGATTTTAAAGAGAAAGAGAGGGGTCAGTAAAGGGCACCGGAGTTGAGCCTTTTGTCATCCAGTGTCTTCAGGAGAAAGAGAGAGACACGATAAAGCCGATAAATAAAAATGAGATCTATAATTTTCATTTATCGTGCGATTAATTTATCGCGACAGGCCTACTTCAGGGTTGAGGTTAGGAGCTGCCAAGGCTCGACAGATTCCTTGATTACTGGCAGACGTTTGGAACGCCTTGGCTGGTCGATTCATGTGTCGAATCGTCATCCTCCGACTGTAGAAAACACGTGGGGTTAAAGGAATTTGATGTTGATTTATTGATCCTCAGAGAAAAGACAAAGTGCTGTGTATGTTCTCTGCAGAGCGCCACGATGCTCTGTATGTGGTGGGCGCTCTGGAGGAAGCCATGGAGCTGAGGGGGATGAGGTACCACCCCATCGACATCGAGACCTCCGTCATCAGGACGCACAAGAGCATCACGGAGTGGTGAGGAGCGAGAACAGGACTTAAAGAAACGTGCAAAGATCAGCTGGACTGTGTCGCTGGGGAGAGCGAGGTCTGGGTTTCTCTCCTGGATCTGTTGCCTCCACGCAAGTGGTAGAAGATGGAGATTATGTGCCCATCTGAATTCTTCTGCTCACTTAAACATTTGGTGTTTCATTACAAATACCACCCAGTTAACAATCTGATCCAGATGTAAACGCCCCTTTAGATGTTAAACCTGAATGTTTTTTACCCAGTGGCTCCTGAGGAGTCCTGTAGACATCAGCCATAATTAAAATGTTCTCGTGTTGCAGCGCCGTGTTCACGTGGACCAACCTGCTGGTGGTCGTGGTGGAACTGGACGGATCCGAGCAGGAGGCCCTGGATCTGGTCCCCCTGGTGACCAACGTGGTGCTGGAGGAGCACTACCTGATCGTCGGCGTGGTGGTCGTGGTCGACATCGGCGTCATCCCCATCAACTCCCGCGGCGAGAAGCAGCGCATGCACTTACGCGACGGCTTCCTGGCCGACCAGCTGGACCCCATTTATGTGGCCTACAACATGTAGCGCCCCCTGGAGGACAAGAGGAGACGTGAGGAAAACTGAAGTCCAGAGCTCAAAAGGCACAGGAGGCAGCGGAGCACCTTACGTGCCCTGGGTTTCGTCTTTCAGGCAGACCTTATTCCCACCATAACTGTTTTTGTTGAGGTCTGTCGGGACGAGAAGTCAGTTTATTTCAGGGCACAAACGGCGACTTAAGAACTGTTAACGTAGCAAAGATTCTGGCTTTTACACATTTAAATCTTTTTTTTTTTTAACATCCCTAAAGAGATTTAGAATATTTTTGTGTTTTTACAACGTCAGCCATCAAACAGTGTGGGATATGTTTTGATACGAGGGACTGGGGGGTGTAGGGGAAGCAAATCGTAGCTGATCCTGTTTTACGATGCGGTACGTTCATTTTATTAGCTTCGCTTTAATCTGTTTTCTAAAGTGGCTGTTTCAGCAGGGAATCACTCCCGCTTTATTTTTCATAAAACTCGCATCATGTAAGTATGTACAAACAGAAACCGATTTAATTTATTTTGTTTCTCTTATAGAAGGTTTATGAAGAGATGTTCTTGAAATATTTGCTTAAGAATAAGAAGAGCATCGTGTTATCTTGAGAGAAGCATATCTGCGTCACGCAGATTATAAAAAATAGATATATACGGTGGTTTTTATCAAAAGGATCAAAAGTGGTTGGAAGCAAGTTCAGCTCGTCTGCTCACGTGTGACACTTTATGAGTTTTTTCCAGTTTCCAAATGAAAAGTTCCGATCAAAAAGACTTCTCAGCTGTTTTAAACCCTAAATAATCTGTTGAATTACAGACTTTCCAGGTGATAAAACAGAACGTTTGTTCAAATTTTAAACCCAATTTAAACATTTTTCAATCGTTATTGCACTGTCATAAACTACAAAACAAACTTTTTTTTTTTTTTTACTGATAAAGGGAAAAATCAAGTAGGGTGTCATCTGTTGCAGGACTTTTCTGCCCTCTGGTGGTAGCAGGCGGTATTACAGCCATTCAAGTCTGAAACGGAACTTTTCAGTTTGGAGGAAACTTTTAAAAGTAATTAAAGGTCTTGCGTCTCTTACCTTGACTGGATTTAAACTCCTGCCTTCAGACGGGACGGGACTTGTCTTCACGCCTCGGGCTCAGAGATGGTGCCGCTGCAAACTGTAAATAATCAGAGCGATGAGTCCATATTTTTTCAAGGCTCACAGCGACGTCAGGAACGATAGTGTTTTTATCAGAGACCCTTTAAGAGCTGCAGAGAATGTTCTGGTTTCAACCCGTGAAGATTCTGTTGTTTGTTTTTTTAATAAAAGCACTTTCTCTACTGTTTTTCTTTAAAGCAAAGTGTATGTTCAGTTTTTTTTTTAAGTTTGAAAAATGTGTTGACATGTCTTTCATTTAAATAAACGTTTTGACAATACGTACGTTTGTCTTAACTTACTGAACAAGGTGATTTTAATGTACATTTTACTGTTGTACTATAGGAGTTTTAACAAAGGAAGGCATATCGCCTGCAGTCTTTCAAGCAGGAGTTGTAAACCGTGATCAGTTTCAGATTTAAATCCAAAGATCCCATTCTGAGGATTTAGTTAAAATCCATCCAGTGGTTTGTGACATTTTTTAATAAAACACTTAGCAAAAACATTATCACGTCATCACCCACTGTCACATTTTCAAATATCTGGCGTCTGTACTCATCCCTTTAGTTGGCAGCTCAGAACACCACATACAGAACACCATGGACTTTGTGGA